ATATCTCGAAATCACACAGATGATTAGATTGTGGCGAACGATCTTGTCCTTACCAGTTCTCTGGCCTATGACAACATTTCAGGGCAATCGGGCTAGATTTGATCGTGCCCTACTCATGCATTCTCAATTGTCCCTTCTCACATGGGGGTGATGCTTATTGCACTTGGAGATTAACATCACAAAGCCGGGCACGACTGTGGCACACGGTTTGATCTTACGGCTTGTACAGAAAATGAGGTACAGGAGGTGAAGCTATTCGAAGTTTTATGGTTAGCTATTGCCGCACGACCCTATGAACAGATATAGCTCAAGCTCCATAAGCATTCCCCTTGATTACAGCGGCTTTAACACGATGCTATCCTCACTGTTTTCTATTATCGGATGTGCGTCTACATCCGCTTTACGAGTACGGTGACGATAACGACAGGACGGACAGCAGCAAGAAATGTCGTGGCCTCAGTCATCAAATACAATATATTCTTGTATTTGTGTGATGACACCTACTTTGATAGAATTCAAACAACTACCCGCAGGAGTAGGAGGATTCAAGTGAGAACATCTGCCACTGGGGGGCGCAGTACGCAACACTTGCTACTAACCTGTGACACATCTTGTACCCCTTTATGGAGAAATAAAGTGTGCCGTATTATTCGAATGTTAACACTACTATGGCGTCGGGAATAAAGAGGACAGTTACGAGTACTCGTAACTGGTACGGCATCATGAAAACGACAGCAGGTACTGCACGTTCCAATGAAATACGATTCTCTGCTCTTCCCTATCCATTGGAACTAGCATTCGTGGTCGTCATTTGAAGCTGTAAGTCAGGTAGTCTACTGCAATGGGTCACGAAAGTCGTAGTTTGAGACACAGCGGGCAGGCACGAGATGATGAGATCGGCAAAAAATCACTTGAACTTCAATATTATTGTACACAACATGACGAGAAGTTACGCGACACACATATTTTAAATGTGGGAATAAACAGAGAATAGCTGTGCAGTGTTAGGCTGGCACATGGATACTGTGGGTTTTTCAAATATGCTCGCTTTCCGTCATCTCTCTATTGCTTGTTTGCTTCTATATGCTGTTCAAAGGTTCTCTATCTTCTCCGTCTTTTTGTAGTGAAGGGAATCTGAAGTTGGGGCCTCGTGTGATGTATGTTAGTTATGAAAAATACGCATTTTCGACACCTGGTCCTGTTTGCTTTCGGTCGAGGTCAAAAGACTGTACGGTACGGAGCTTTAAAAAGGTGTTCAAAGTTTTACAAAGTCCAGCATTGGCACGGTGGACACTTTTGAAGAAAAGTGGCTGGCGAACAACTCGTGGCTTCCTCATGAGGATAGATTTTGGTCGTCTAACTATCGAAAAACATCTTGAATGTATGTGACTTATTGAAAAATTAAGAACCTAAATGACCCATAAACTCAACAAAATGTAGAGAAAAGCGAAGTTTTTTATTGCCTATCAAGAATTCGCTTGCCGTCGCGTGACGCACGGTCACACCATGACGGACTTTTACACAAAATTGCTATGGACGACGAAACCTAGTGACTCAGTGTCAATATAATACAGAAAGAAATAGGCAGATTTGGGCCATACCCCTAAACCAAAAGTTGAGCCAGATCTCCATCCTAATGGGGCCATAGATTTGCTTTTTACTGAGATTTAAACGTATGTACTACGGCAGAAATGAAAAACAAGGCGCTCGACAGAAATGTAAATAACTCAGTTATATCAAGTGAACGAGGTTAATGGAAATAGGAAGAGCCCGATACGCACAACAACCAACCATGTGTGGTCTGGCACTGCAGTCAGTGCCAGACCACACATGGCAATGATCGTTAAAGCTCCCCCTCACGAGAATTTGAGGTGCTTTCACACTTATCCTATAATAATAAGTATATACATATAAGAAAGTATAGTTTTTTTTTTCGATTAATGACGAATGATATATGTGGCCGTACATTTGACATTGAAAAAGGTCTCAAAAACTGTTTTTCGGTACGGGTCGGAAAAAAGTTTTTCGGTACAAGATCTGAAAGTTTCTGATGACATAGAGCGGATAAATCGGAAGGTGAATAAACAATAAAAAACATATGCTAAAATTCCGGTGAAATAATGTGTGTTGCTATTATGGGAACAGCGAGCTATTTTTTTTCTGGAAACTTACTGCTATAGTATAAATAAATAGACGCTTGGAGAAATCATAGAGCCGACGTATAGTCGGCACTGACAATATGTGATTAATGATTTTACATTTTAAGGACTTCGATTCAAAAAGGTAGACAAACATGGACTGGGGTTTCAACGCAGGCCTTCTCTGTGGGATGGTTACATAAACAATAAAATCACTTGTCAGGTGAAGAATAAATTATGAGTTCTATTTCTAGTCTATGCCTGTTTACGTTGCGGGTTAACTTCTTTAGCATACGCTTATCATTCTACTTCAGTGTTACCTACCAGACATAGGCCATTTATCTTTAGATTCGACGCTGCAGTAATACATTATTCTAGTAGAACCTGATTAACATGAGACCTTTACCTACCCTAAACTCGTGTGCCTGTTTCCTTTCCGTTATATCTTAAAACTTTACGTTCTCGTAAACGCTGTGTCAAGTTGCTGCCTTTCTGTGCTCAATAAGCAAAAGAGCTATAAGTCGATCTTCGGAAACTTACTGGAGCTGCGTGTCTCTCAGTGCACTCGACAAAAGTTGTTGTTATTCCTTTAGCAAGCACTGCTCCTACATCCGGAATCATATAAGCAAGATCGGAAAATCTTCGTTGATTCTTTAGTCCTAGGCTCAAGGTGCATTAGAAGAGAGGTTATATGCCTGTATACTTCTGCTAATGGGCAGGGGATGTGTGCTTAGCATAGAAACTTCGAAACAAGTCCGAGTAGGCCGTTGGTGTAAAATTAAAGCAGTGATTTAAGAATCTTGTAAGTCTAACTGGATCGCACTTGTCTCACTAGCTTGTTGTTTACTACCTGACAAAGATTAATGGATAAATTCTGTTATTTTGTTGTATTGATAGACGAAACTACGGGGCGACCAAGCAGTGTTAAAAATGGGTGGTAACATCTTGCCGTTGGTAAGAGGCGGATTTCTCTATATCTGTAGATACTTGTAGAAAAATTCTAAACCAGCGGTGCTAGATGAGCCATCAACTCATTTATCGAAAAAAAAGTGTATCAAAAGGTAATACAGATTTCAGGCCAGTATTAAAGAAGTATATTGACCCTCTGTATTTCCGCCATGTTCGGCTGTCGTCCTTTCTCAATTTGAGCCGTTGCCCCCTTGATTGCCACGTCTGCCTCTAGTACAGCTTACAGACTGATTTAGTGTTGGTAGCGTTTACTACGCTGCAGTCTAATAGGAGATTTCTGCTGATCATGTACGTCTCCTTGTTTCAATTCTCTTAGAATTGAAACGGGTGATAGTTGCTTTATTGTTTTTTGGTTTCAAAGTTCTCTCAAATCACCGCTGGACCTAGGGTTATCTTTGTTTGTCGAAATTGTAAAAGCTCCTCGGTACGCGATCTCCTAAGGTGCACTGTAGACAATAGAGTACAGAAGGTCCTTTTACGGTTGCAATAGGATGAACGAACCGATGAAGGATCATAAGAAGCAATTCCTACAAGGGGCCTCACGAAAGAGGGTATGTGATTAGACTGGATTATGGGCCTACCATGAATTGAGATATTATTCACGTGACAGCAGCTGATTACAGATTCTGTTAACGGAAAGATGATATGGGCTTTCACAGGTAGATACACTATATCGTGTCCTTTGCGATCTCGATACATTCTGCAATATTTACCTTAGTAATAAACAGATGAAACGATCGTCGCTGACTTTTAAGGCACCAGGCTTCAGTCTAGTTCCGGGTCTTCTATTATTCCTTGCATTCATAAAGGCATGGCACACATTGGATTCATGCGAAAACCAAGCAGGATGGAGATTGGGTGAAAAAAAAAAAACTGAAAATATTGAAATGTTTTTCCACCTTTTCGTTCTACTTCGTAACTCTCCTTTGTCTAGTTTTATTTTTGTTACAAAAGCGAAGGCGCGGTCGTTGAAGTCGAATAAACAACTGCCGCTGTACTCCAATTTGCTTCCCTTATCTATCGGGTTATTCCTCGGTTGATTCAGCAGTTACCCTTCCCCCATAAGTTCGTATTGCTGAAAGCGTTCATCGACGCCAAAAGTCCACTAATTAATTTAAAGACCGACATTTCCGTCTGCATTTATCAGACTAACATTTATTCATAGGAGCAAGAAACTACTTTATTGTACCCGTTTAAAAGTTGCGCATAAATAGTTGCGCGGAACGCGAGACCCATCATCTTTATGTTTTCTGTACAATAACCCGTCACTCTGTTTTTGGAGTGAACCTGTTGTCGTCGAAGCCAGAAACTAGTTTGACAAACGAAAAACAGTTAATAGAGTTTCGATCTCTACTTGAATTACAGCTTTATACAAAAAAGGCGCGGTGAACGTTACAATACATACGCATTACATGTATCCCCCAATCAAGGAAA